TGGGCGCAGCCCCGCAGCTCTCGCAGTGACGTGATGCCGCGGCAGCAGGCGCCCACCTGCTCGGGGGGCCGTGCTGTGCCTGGCGCCGCGCTCCTGCAGAGCAGGGCTTTGTCTACCCGGTGCCCGAGAGGCTGCGGGGAGATCTGCCCCCAGGTGACGGCCTCACAGCTGGCACTACTGCAAGCAGTGTCCAGCCTTGGCGAGCTCGGTGGCTGACAGGACGTAGGAAATTCTGTTTCAAACTCTAGTTACCCTTTAACGACCAAGCAGAGCTTCTGCCAGTTCTTCCACGTTATTCCCCATGTTTGTAACATTTTGCTTCTCTGAGCTGGGTTAAGCTGTAACGGAGCGGTAGAAACCCACTGCTGTTCTGACGGTCAGCAGTAATTTGTACACATATCTATAAACCCCAAAAGTACCAGTTTAGCATCTGTTTAATAGCTGAATTTTTTTTATTCTGTTCAGCTCAATGATATAACTTTACATATTGCTTTTCCATACACTACTTGTAATAATGGTATTTTAAATAAAGTGTCTTGTGGATTTTTGGTATTGTAAACATTTTGTACTGGTTAACATTGAGACATCTTAATTTGACTTTCTCCAACGAAATGCAGACGCTCTGCAGGTGCCAGGACGAGTTCTTCACACGGTTACTTGTTGTAGAATTGGGATGAGACCCAGGCAAGACCCCACTTCAGGTTAGTTAACATGAATTTTAGTGCTTTTGTCCATTGCTCCTCAGAGTTAAACTGTGTTTTAATTGAGTAAGAGCCACCACTGCCACCTGTGTCTTCAATCTTTCCTTTCTCCACGTCCATCCTGTATCACACAAGGTTCCGTTAGTGCACTGCTGCTGCATTTCAGCTCAACGTGACGTCAGGTGCTGAAGTCTGCACCCAACAGGCATACTGCTCTACGTAACAATACTTAGTTTTTAAAGGCATCGAGCCGCCCTCAGGTCTTTGTCTGAGGAACCAGCTTTAAATTTCAGTTGAACTAAGCCCAAGAGGGGTAATGCTGCACGTTATGGAGACACCAGCCGCTGCCAGAGACTGGACTGGAGCAGCGAGCAGCGCCGGGGCTGGCGCAGAGGCCCGTTAGAGCCGCGCGGGACAGCACGCAAGGGGTTAACTTGGCACGCTATGCACCGGCGCTCACCTGTATGGCAAACAAAACCGGGTTTCGCCTTTTTCCACTTCCTCTTTGAACTGCTGGACGCAGTCCAGGAAAGCCACCATCGCGTGATCAAACTTGTTGTCCCAGAAGAACCGGAGGCCTCCGGAACAGTACAGGGGAAGCTCCTGGAAGAGAGACGTGTTTCAGGCACCACAAGCACGTTTCAGACACGGTCACGGCAGCTCTTCAGCCTCGTGTGAGGCTTAACTTTGTCACAGGACGCTTAGAAATGGTTTGTGGCACAAAGAGGAGTGACTCGTTCTGTGCCCAGGGCCGACCGCGCGCAGGCTGGGGCTCCCAGCCGCCAGCAACCACCCCGAGTCATGCGTCTTCCTCCGCCAGCTCAGGAGTGCTGTCGCTTCTGATGCTACTGGATGGCAGAACAAGCGCCTCGACAGAGGACGTGGAGCGAGGCACCATTACGTTGGAGAAGTCGGGGCAGCTGGCGCTCCCGCACCACAAGTTCCAAAAGAGCTGAGCTTGCCTTCCACGTCCCCCAGCGCGACCGGGGCTCTAGGGCGCTCGAGGTCAACGTCCTCCGCTTTGCGCAGGGTCTCTTACCTTTGACTTGTCCGTGAGGGACTCTAAGTACGAGTGGTTGCCGTACGGCACGAGGCGGTATCTGAAAGGAGAGGAGGTTCACTTTTTTTTTCCCCCCGGCCGCAGCCAGACCCGTCCCGTGTCGCACCCACCTCTGAAACTTCAGGCCCATTTTGTTGGCGAGGGCGTGCAGCAGCAGCACAGTCTGCCCCCAGGCAGCGTTGATCTCGTTCCACTCCACAGGGACGCTGGGGAGGCGGCCGAGCCTGAAGTTATTGATTGTGCCAAACTGCCCGCTGTGCCTGCGCCAGAGGAGTCAGAGATGAGTGCGCTGGGGCAGGGGCAGCTTCCAGCCCAGTAACCGCCCGAGGGCCACGTGCCCACGGCTACGGGCCGCAGACACTGACCGAGCGATGGAGGGGCTGGGGGCTCTGCTGAGAAGGTGCACCTGAACACCAACCACTTGGTATGGAACAAACCGAAACCAAAACCCCGAGCAAACCCCCCGAGCTACCTGCTCCGCGAAGCCTGGCACAGAGCGCTGCCG